GTCCTTGTACTGTGTCTTCTGTGGATAAGATGTATAGAGAAGTGCTAGCTGGAACACTGGAGGGTGCTGCCCTGGCCGAGCCTGCTAACTGCTTTCCTGGAGCACACTGTTTTTCTGGGACGGTTTAAATACTGTAGTTTTCTTAATCAGCTAAACAATATTGTTTAGAAAAATGATAGTACAGGTTTTCAAGTTCTTGACCTGAGAAGGGATGTTGTGGCAGCCATGGTCTGGAGCATCCATCTCCTTGCAAGTTGATGGGTGGAGAACCGTGTTATTTGCAAAAAGCCATGCATTCCACATCAGTGCGTGTGCTGCTAAGGGTTATCAGTGACCTCCCCCAAATCATCACAGTGGGGACAATAATAGGTGAGGCTGTTGAAAGGTAACCGGACAACAGGGACACTTAACTTCAGGCGATGGGATCGGGTTGAAAGGGGTGGGTCACTGTGGGCATGACCTGGAGGCCGTCCCAGCTTCCCCCTCCCCTCTCCACTTCCAGGCAGTGAGCAGCTCTCCTCACCACGCCCTCCGCCATGCTGCCCTGCCTTGGAACCAGCCAAAGGTAGACTGAAACGTGAGTCAAAATAAGCCTCTCCTTAATGCTACAGGTATGGAGTATTCTGCTCTAGCAATGAGGAGGGTGACAATGACATCTAGGCTCTATCAAAAGAACAGCAACCCATGCCCACACTAGAGGAAAAGTGCTATATTCAAGGAAAATGGAATCACATAGCAATGACTTTGAAAACTAAAGTACAAACTAACATGAACAGTGACCTCAGAACACAAGATTGAGGGAAAATTCTCTGTAAAGTGCCAGCTGTCCTCACCCACAAAACACGTACACGTTCATCTGCTTTCCTTTCTCCCTTTATTAAGGCATACCCTCCAGCTGGATTGTCCTCCGAGAGGTAGAAATGGTTTTGTAACATGCTACAGTATCTCAGGACCTTGCCATCAAGTCTTTTGTTTGATGTGGGGATTCATTCCTCAGTATCAGAAGGGTTACATTTTCATCAATGCTAGGTTCAGAATTCAGAGCAAAGTCCATAGGGTAGCCCTAAACATCCATTTTTGGAGAATATCTATGTTTGTAGTTTCGGTTCATAAAACACATTACCAAGCACTTGGCTTCTAAACCTATTTACAGAGAAGAAAAATACCCACAAAACAAATGCATTGTCTCCTGCACAGCCTGGCCTCAGGATACTCAGCTTTCCTTATGAAGCTTGACCTCCCCTTTCCTAATAGAGAAGCACATTGTCCCAGCCAGGGATTCCTGAGGAACATCTACTGTTAGCGTCACAGTTAGGGTCTGATTTCCTCTGGTCTGACTTAGCGACAGAGGCTTAAAAGTAGGCAAATAAAGCTTCTTACTGATTACCTATCCACAGCTCTGGGTACTGTTATGGATTGTGTTTCGAAGTCCCCTCAGAGCTGCATGCACTCACAGCGGATCTTTTCAGAGGTGGCAGGATCTACAGTGTGTGATGCCAGGATCAAGGGTGTGTGGTTACTACATCAGTCCACTGATTGGCTTGGCATAGTTTGGGTGTGGGTGATGGGAAGGCGCTCCCTGGGTGTGGGTGCCTCCCACCCGGAGGACACATAGCCTGGATAGCAGGTAAGGGGCAGGAGGAGTCTGCTGGGGTCACTTCTCGCATGCTGCTTGCGGCTTCAATCTTTGCAGCCTTCCGCCTGCCATGAGCTGTTTCTCTTCTGCCACGCTACTCTCCCTCAGAGCTGCCAACTGTGACCTGAAGCCTCTGCAAACTGTGAGCTAAGTAAGCCTTTCCTCCTTTGTCTTGGGTGTTGAGTATGTTGTCTCAGCAATGAGAAAGAAAAGCTAGCCAAGACCGGTATCTTGCTCTGGAGTCGGCGTCCAAGGCTGTGCAGAAAGTTTCCTGACTTTGTTCTGTGGGCTTTGTGGGTTCCTGAGTTCATGGTTATAGCTTTTGTCAGCACTTTAACAGAAACGTGACTCAGCAGTTCCTAGTCTCACGCCACAGTTTCTTAAAAGGGGCCTGACTTTTAGAAACCAGTTACCTACTTTGAAAATAAACTCGAGTCTAATTTATAAGTCCCAAAAAGCAGGCCTCTAGCGAATTCATTAAACCAGCTCCTTCCACAATTAATTTGTTCATAATAAAGACAGCAAAATAAGTTTCCTTCTTTCTACTCTGTGAGCAAAAATTGGAATTAAAACTGCAGAGGGGGGGCTGGGGATTTAGCTCAGGGGCTGGGGATTTAGCTCAGCGGCATAAGCTCCTGCCTTGCAAGCAGGCGGTCGTGAGTTCGATCCCTGGTACCGATAAAAAACCGAAAAAGCAAAAAAAAAAAAAAAAAAAAAAAAAACTGCAGAGGGAGGAATTGGGGACTAGAAATGCAAATGTCACAAAGGGTAGAGGGGACTGGCAGGAGGCTATGCGACCTGGCACATGCCCAGGGGAACAAATCTGTCACTTCCGTCCCTGCACCCATACGTCCTAATGATCTGAACCTAATAGATGCTTAATCGCTTCATCCTATATGACACTGACCATATAAACATTTAACATTATGCCTCGAATGACTAAAGGAGGAAGTGAACCGCAACACCTGATCAAACTCGCCTCACCTGGAGCTTTGAAACTGCTTCTCTCCGTCCTGACAATTGTCCTGTGCACGTCACTCCCTTACCAAGTTTTTATTGCATGGTTGCACACTCTTTAAAAGTGTGTACCTGACCTGTGGCCTCTTAGGCCATGTTACTAGGGTGAACTGTCCTTGCTGTACACTCCCAGAGTCCGTTTGTTTGGGTGTCACAGGGAAGGTCCTTGTGCAGGTTGCCAGCCCTCCTGCAGATGCCCATCTAGGCCTTCACTGTTAAGAACACAGCTGCTGTGACCATTCACACACACATCTCCTCTCAAATGTATGCAAAGGTGCTGCTGGCTGTGTAGCTAAAACTTTGTTTATTGAGTCAGGATATATGAATGTATGAAGAGGATCCACCAATAACCAAATTTAGGAGGTGAGGCTCAGTGTTTGCACACATTTAAAATCCTATCAGCAAAGTTTAAGAAATGTTCTTTATTTTATGCGTTCATATGGCTGCAAACTTCAGACTACCAAAAATTTACCGGAGCAAAAATGCATCTGGCTATGAAATGGTAACCTCAGTAGGGTCTTGGTCAGCATCCTCTTATCAGCAGTGACATCAATCAGTTCTTCATTTTTATTGGCAGTGCATCGATTTCTTTCAATGCACTCTCTTTGGGTTCCTTCAATGTTCAAGGTTTTGGCTCTATTTGGTAATTCTTCCTCACACACTGTCCTGGGGTAGCTGGTGGTCTATGAGGCTGGTGTGGTGGACAGATTCACCGCCATTTCCATGTATGTGGAAGAGTTCTTCTAGCTCTAAGACTTGCCGTGACGTCATGAGATCAGCGGATGAGCACTTGGTGCCTTGCATTTTCTGCACAACAGAGGTGGTAACGCACCGTGATGGTGGGTATCCAATGACATTTCTGTAAACACCTTGTCTCCTGGGTAGTCTCCAGCACGCTCGATGCCATGGCCTTAGATTCTTTTCTCCTATCCTGCTTCTATCATGACCCACATCAAATTCCAGCTATATCTTACATTTGTGATTGTTAGAAATTGCTACCATACTAGGAAAACAACAGTAGTACCTAACAGTACCTGGGCAATTAATACATGTCAAAGAGTATGCTAAGCCCATTGTGAGTTCGGTCAATGTTCACCACCACTCTCCCTGGTAGACACTGTCTCCATCTCTGTCCCCAAGAACAATTCTCAGAGAGCCCTGTCTGCTAAAGGTCAAAAAGAAAATATTTGAGTCCTGGATGGTAGTCTACCTCTATAGGTATTCACCTACCATTGTAGTGTGAAACAGATTTAGACAATGTGGAAATGAGTATTCCAATGTCAGTGTTTAAGAAAATAGGCATCAGTATGAATTTAGTCCAAGCACTCTTGCTTGCCTGCCCCAGAATGTTGCCATGGTGAGAATGAGGGCAGCTTTCACATCTCTGTGAGTCTGATTGTCTGATGTCAGTGTCCATGTGCACAACACAGCATGACTTCTCATAACCTCTAGGCCAGCAGGAGCCCACTGTTGGAATGCAGTGCATACTGTGCATTGGGTAGGGAGGATGTGGCATACACTGTGCCTAGTGTCAAAGACAGAAAAATAAAGCATGGTCTTTGCTCTCTGGATGAGGAGACCAGTACCGGGAAAACTGAGTGGGCAAACACAGAATTCATGAGCATTGCAATAGAAACAGACAGCCGATGTACAACAATACAGACAGGAGACTCTGTCAGGTCACAGATATCACAGGGATCCTGTGATGTCCCGGTCACTGCACTAGACACCAGGGATGGAAAATGTACAGAATGGACACAGCCACACCCTCATGTAACTGAGGCTACGGTGGGAAGCTCTGTTTACACAACTGAGAAAATATTTAGAAGCGCGCAAGTGCTACGGCAAGGTAATCACGTACATGGGGAGCATCTGCCATGTGGCCACGGGAACAGGGAAGCCGTCTGGAGTATGAGGTGCTGGAACAGGAACTGATAGGTGAGCTGGGGCCAGACCCGCGGAGTTTGTGCACCACGCTCAGGAATTTGGCTTTCCTCTGCAGACACCTGGTAGGCATCAAAGATTATTGAACAGGTGAATGACAAGGCCAGTCCTTTTGAAAGGAGGCTCTGGCAACCATATGGAGGATAAACTGAGAGTGGGAGTCCCGAGGTCAAGACAGCCTCCCTGGCCTGGTGGAAAACCCTTTAGTGACTGAGGCCGACGGCGAGAGGGCAGCGCTGCCTGGCGTGAGCAGTGAGGAGGCCCTGCCTGCGGAGGTGTTTTCATGAGCAGCATTTTAATTTGTGTACAATTTGCCTATGGTATGAGTCATCACTTCGCATTCGCCAAAAGACGCTAGACCTAAACCTTTAATCTTTTAAAGATGTAAACAGAATACCCACCATTTATTTGCCTGTTAAATCTTCTTAGAATCTGCTTTCTAAAGCAAAATGGTCATGAATTCCAGGTGACTACAGACTGTGAAGCTGTGGTATCTACGTATGGGGAGGATGTGTCCTGTGAGTCTGAGCAACAAATCAAGCATTTTGTAAGAAGGATGCCAAGGTGCCTCTTCCCTGTCCCGGAAGCTATATTACCAGGCGACTCCGAGGGTGTTTCTCTCGGTTGGGGGCTTCGCCAAGGATCTGATCAAGAGGATTCAACTCACGTGGCATAAACATGCTCTGCCTTTTCCATGTTTAGTCACCTCTGCTTCATTCCTTTTGTTCCTCCAGCACCCCCACCACCCAAGAGGGTTACAGTTCCATCTTGGAGCATGTCAGAAGATTGCTGCTGAGAGACAGTGGGGGTCTTGACAAGAGCTGTGGCTTCTGGATGAAAGACAATTGGCCCAAGAAGGTCACAGCTGTCCTCTGCCAGCTGGCATCACGATTACATTGTGGACATATCACAAAGTTGAAATTCCCTCTGGGAACCGAAGTAGGTCACCAGCAGAAAGAAAGCTCCAAGAGGTAAGGCTAACAGAAGGATTTGCAAGGCTCTAAGCAGGAGGGAGCCGTGGCTGGGAAGTGAGGAAAGGGTTACGTGGCCCCTGGGGTGCTCTTCAGAGACACTAGTGTGACCATAGCATTCACAGGAACGCTGCCATGACAAATGACAGGCAGCTGATCATTTCTGCAGTCTTCATTGGTTTTAATATCTGCATCCTAATTTATTTGACATCTGCAGAACATCCAAGGAAAATATTCCAGTATGGGACGGGCAATCCGGGTGTTTTCTGAGTTCATCAAATATCTCACACTCCTTTTTGAAATGTTTTCAGTTTTGCAAAACTTGCAATGCATTTTGCCAAACATGTTCTCTGTTAATGTTTATTTAGAAGAGAATTTAATCCGTATGCTGCTGATGCATTTACACTTAACTCATCAGAATGTTTTACTAGAGTCATTTGATGTCCAAGAAACCTTTTGAGCCTTTTTTTTATAAGCCTCTTCAAGCCCATTTTGCTTCGAAACAGGAAGTCGCCTGTTACTAACCATAAACGAATGCAATTCCCGGAAGATTTGGTTTCATTTAAGACACCAAGAGACCACAAGGTCTCAGCCTACTCTGAACTCCACAGAAAGGATTTTCTCCTGAACAGACTGAGAATGTGCTGTGCACAGATGAGGCGCTGTTATAACTTTCCAAAACAAAATCCTTTATGAAGAGGCATCTTTCATACAACTCCTGGGAATGACAGTTACCAAAGCAGAGCGCTAAATCACTGGCTCTGAGGCTGCACCTGGCCAATGTCACTGTCTCCTCAGAATCTACTTCTCATTCAGAGCTCGTCTGCTCGTATTAATAGAACAAATAAAATGGACTGGGAGATAAAGACACAGGAATAGTGATTTCTCGCTTCAGGAAAACCTTCCTGAGTTACAGACCAAGACAATGTTCCCAGCCACGAGCCAGGGAGGCAGAGCTGACATAAACACAGCCTCCAGCCACAGAACATGACTTGTTTCAGGCTTAATTCTGTGAAGTCAGGCAGGAAACAAGATTTACCCTTCTGGGAAACTTCTGGCATTTGCCTCAGGCTCGGCCTTCTTTCTCTGTTGTCCTTGCCATCCATTACAGCTATCTGATGGAAATCAAGTTTTTGCCCAAACTAAGGCAAAAGAGAAATGTCTCCATCTGAGTCCCGTACAAATCCTGCTGTTTGACGTGGTGTTAAACACCAGAGGGTGCGTAGCCGGGTGTGCTGCTGGGAGGATCATCATCGCTCTCCTAGACCTGTTGGCTGTGAAAGGGAGTAAAATTACTTGGACGAAAGCCACTTTACAAACATAGTAAAAATAAATTACAACACTTAATAATTGAATCTTAAACTTGTCATTATGGCAAACTCTAAATTATTCCAAGAGCCTTCTTTGCTGGGACTTGGCAAAAGTGTCAGGTGTCAGAGGTCAGTTTTCATGTACAAGATCCAGCTTAGGTTGTTACTGCACAGGCTCTGGAGGAAACGTTCCAAGGATGAATGGGCCATTGAGAAGTCATTCAGACTCCCCGAGACTTTAAATGAGTCCTGGAAGGTTTCAAACCATCAGCCAGTGTGGTGGGCTACCAAAATATTGGGTTGTTAATAGAAGAGAATTTGGGGTTATTAATGCCAGGTTTTTCCTGTGTTCACGTGTGTGTAAGAGTTTGTTTCTTAATGTATCTTTATGCCACAATATTTCGGTTGTGTTAACTGCATACTGATTGGACGGTGACAGCGGTGTAACCTGGTCCACGGCCCCACTCTAACCCCTGGGCACAAAAGGCAGGAGCGTTTACACTGGAGTCTGACCCAGTGAAGACATCACAGTCACCATCTGGCTTTACTTTCATGTCCTAAATATTAAAATTATTTAAGGGCTATTGATGTCAGAGCATCACATTAGTTCATTCATTTTCTCCTGAAAATTGTATTTAAGGTGGCTTTTCTTCAGGGTCACTGCTTCTGAATAATACTCTTTAAGGCACATGAGCAAAAGAATCACCAAAGAAATACACTTGCAAAACTGACAATTTCTTTCTCATAAGTTTAGAGAAAAAATAAGAACATTAAAAACTTTGTATTCAAATGCTAATATTGCTACAAATAGCTCCTAACACCCTTGGGAAACCACCGGACCTGATAGTACGTATGTCTAAATCCTCTGGCCAGAACACACCTTTTCTATTTTGAGTTCATTAGTAGTCTTTCTAGTCTGGGTGTTGTAGCCTGTCGCCCCAAATCCTCATGTGACCATTCCAAGGTGGCCGGATTAGAGTGCATGACAGCAGGACTGAGTCCTGGTGCAGTGCTGGGACCAAGGTCAGCAGGATTCAGCGTGTGAGTGCACCTGCCCTGAGGAGCCTGTGGTTGCTCCTCATTGCTTTTTATCTTCTGCCTTCCATGAATCATTAATCCTCTGTGATGCTGCCCTGCCTTGGCACCAGCAGACTGTGGACTGAAACCTCCACAGACTGTAAGCCAAATAAACCTTTTCCCTTTTAACTTTACGTGTTGGGTATTTTGTCTCAGCCAGAGTAAAGTAACTAAGATACTGATTTATACAATCACAAGTGTCTAGTTAATTTAGGTAAGGTTGTTGCAGGCAATTGAGCGAGTTAGAAATCTTATAGGCAGTGAGATAAGGCTAAATCCTCAATGGAGCCAATGCAGACACCTGGCAGCTGCCAGGGAAACTGATGCCTCCTGCTGTGGGCCAGGCCTCAAGACAAAAGACCATACAAATGCACCCATATCCTGGGATTGAAACCCTACATAGTTCCCTTCCCCCTAGGAAAGAGTCACAGCTCTGTAAGAATGCCCGCTTTCTACTAACTTGCTTCCCCATTTGTCCTTAACATAATCAGTTTCATCTGAACTATTGATCTTATTGGCTAACTATAGTTCTGTCCCACCTTATGCGCATCTGCCTTGTGAGTTCCCAGTCTTCCCCACCTTGAACCCACGGGGGTTTTACTCTATAAAAGTGCATGGAAAAGACAGAGTGCTTGGCAACCTGCTTGGGACCCCTTCTGTCTCTCTTCAGACAGAACCCTTCTTTACGTCAATAAATATACTCTACTCTTAACTCCATTGTTCCTAAAATTCATTCTTTGATTTTAGAGAACACAAGCTCGCAGACATAGTAGGTCGGGAGTTTCGTTCCCCTGTATCAAGGTCACTTGTGCTAGAAATGGTCCCTCCGTGGGAGCTAGCTCGCTGCACTCACCACGGCCATTACCACACATTGCCATCCGGATGGAACAGTGTCAGGAAGCACACAGGGGCCTTGCATCATGGTACATGGGATGTGTTTTCACTACCTGCTTCCGAATTATTAGAAGGACAGGACTCCTTTCATGTGGAATTACTCTCTTTTTCCCAGAAACACCCCTCTTCCCCACACATGTGGCCAGAAATCTAACTTGCATGTACCCCTTCATCTTCATAATTGCTGAGTCTTTTTTGTTATTCTCAGGCTGCCACTAACTTTGAAGACTCCCAAGTTAAGGGTGAATAAAAGAAATAATCCCTATTCCACAGAATGTTGAACCCACTCACATTTTTAAAATTTGCCGTCCCCTTCTATTAGTGCCTGAGAAAACTCAAGAAGTATTCCTAATTTCACTTGTCATTGTCATTAGTCGGTAGTCAGCTCTCACACAGGCACCTTAACGTACAGCATAATCGTGTCTATGCAACGAGGCACATATTTGTGTAGAATTCTTGAGCAATAGTCGAGGATTATGAAAGCACCCTAAGTCAGCAAAGCACAGGGCTGGCATGCAGCTCAGTGGTGGAGCACTTGCCGAGCATGTGGGCCACAGGTTCTGCACCTAGCAACACACACACGCACACACGCACACACATGTCATCACTAACAATCATAGAATCAACAAAGTCCTATTTAAGGCTATCAAGTAATTGATGTAGTTTTAATCAGTCCTCCTGCGTTTCCTGTGGCTTCTTCTCCTTTTCTATACTTTTCTTCTCGTTCTCTTCCTTTTCCTTTTTCTCTCTCTGGCTTTAGAGCGATTTCAGACAGTAGCCAGTGGTTCTGTGGGAGGACTGAGCGGGTAAGGGGTGAACTTGGCCTTGATGTCAAGGAGCCCGACTGCGAGCCAAGAGCTTTTCAGCAGCATGATCAAGGCAGGAAGAGTTTTCTTCCCCGCCATGCTTTTGGGAAGCTGATACAGGGAAGCTGTTCTGGTGGAATCGTCCCTTTCCTGTGTATTCACACAGGTGACTCCTGTTTATAAAGAGCAAGGAAAGAAAATAAAATTGAAATCTATTTTCACCGGCACAAACACAAGCAATAAAACAACAGAAAGCTTCACGGTGGTGTCCAAAGGGCCACTTGCAGGTGAAAGACACAACCCTTGGAGCACACAGTCAGGGAGGTGCTTCCTCTTGGGGCCAGTGGGCTCCAAGCGCAGGGTCCACAGCTGAGCGTGAACACTGACCTCAAGTGTAGGCAGGCACCATCCTCATAGGCCTTGGCCTTGGCCCCGCACCCCTACGCATGATACCAGTGTCCTCCGTTCTACCAGCACTGAGCCCACCAGCTAGAGATTCCTAACACTCCCTGTGTTCTGTCTTTTGCAGGAAACCTGAAAACACTAACCATCATGTTTCCCAGGCCTGTCCTGAAGGAACATGTCAGTTCACTGGGAGAATAAGATACACAGACGGAAAACAAGTCCACCGACTCTGCGAACTGCCATCGCCACGTGAGGTCACAGGATGGTGGACTCGGGAGATGAAGGAACCGTAACGAAGAGGTCCTGAAGGCTCAGCCCTGTGCCGCAGACCAGGTGTGGCTGGATAAGAAAGGCCTGCCTGGGAGTGCCCAGGGTTCCTCAAAGAGGTCTGATGTAGGCTGCAGGAAGACTTAGGTGATTTTCAGCAGGGTGACCACGCTCTGAGATGGTTATGCATCGTTTTGCTGCAGGGGGTCAGAGTGAGGGCTGGACAGTGAGTCCATCCAACATAAAAACGTTGCTTCCAATTGGGTGCCTACTAGTTTAACACTAATTTTAAAGTAATTAACGCTCCAGAGTGGGTTTGATATATTGCAGGGAAAAAAGAAAGCACCCAGCAGGGCTGCACTGTCCCCATCAGGCGTCTGCCCCGCACCGCTGTGTCACACTCCCATTTCTCTTGCAGTGGCTCTGCAGTGCACTCAGAAGTTGCTGTTGGCTCTGGCCTCTGCACTCTCTGAGCCATGTGACTGCGCACTTTGTCACTGGCTGCTCTGTTCACAGAGCACACGGGTGACTCTGGCGTCCCAGACCAGGTCCCAGCCCCCCAAGGTTGGAAATCGGAACTCCCTCTGGGTGTTCTAGCTCTGCGGATTCCAGCAGCAACCAGGCCTGTGGAGAGCAACTAACTAGGTTCCACAGCTGCCTGCTCTGGAGGGGTGACGTGGAGAGCAATTCGACTTGATTACTCAGTGTGGAAACTTCTGCATGTGGTGTCCTTTGCAATGTTTGGACTGACCTGAATGAAACTTCCAATGGCTGATTTCGTTTCTAACCCTTACTGGAGCCAGAAACCCCACCTGCAGGGAATGGTTTTCATTGCCTTCTGGAAGGGTCAGCACCCCTCTTCCTGTCAGCAGGAGCCACAGGCATGAGTCGGGACTGCTGCTTACATGACAGTGTAGTTGCCTAGAAGAAGCCTCGGACTGAGACCTCTGTAAAAGTTCTTGGCCTCCAGTCAAGCCAGAATGAACAATGCAAAGCCATGAATGTCTTGATGTGCAGATATCTGAGCTGAGGACACGGAGGCCCAGGACAGTTTACAGAGAAGGTAGAATTATGTAACCCTGTCACTCACAGGGCTTCTTTCCAGCCCGAAGTATCTCGGGACCAAACAGTGCACATGGCAACGAAACAAACTTAATGTGTGCTCTCTTTGCATTGTTAAACAGAGCACACTCTCCGCACGGGGTATAAATCACCCAAAGCGCAAGAGTGGGGTGCCTCATTTAGCACTGTCACTGGGGGATGAGCCATTTATTACAGATAAATATTCTAAATAACTAAAGCCTGTGAATTTGAATGCCAAAACTTTAAAAAATGCGAACTGCGTATGATGAAAATCCTTCTAAGCATTCCCTGGGTCTTAAACACAGTCTTCAGAGTCTTACACATCGTCTTTGACTTTCAATGTACTTGGGGGAAAAGAGTGGAAAAATGGGTGATCGGGCACACGGCTAGATCTAATTTTTGTAATGCGGTTGATTGACGAGGAGACACCTT